AACACTGTTCAGATGGATCTATCGAGAGGTACAAAGCCCGATTGGTCGCCAAGGGCTTCACTCAGCTGGAAGGTGTTGATGAGCGCTGAAAAGTGCGTATTTAAACCCCTTAAGCTTAAGCATTCTAGTACCTTTATCTATCTTACTTTACCGTTTTAGATTGATTTCGTATTATTTCCATTTTTAGGTACTTATCCCGAAAATAAGCTAACTCAGCCAAATAAGAGCAGAAATGAAGCAATTCTAGGATAAATCAAAGAAAGAAGCCAAGTGGAAGCAAAAGGAAGAAAAAGGTGGAAATCAACATTTTCGATCGATCTCAGATCAAGATTCGATCGATCCAACATGATCGATTTCAGCACTTCAAGATGGATCAGAGCCATGATGATATTTTCAGAGATCCCAAAAGTTCGATCGATCCAACATCATTCTTCGATCGATTGAACTGCTTTGTCCTTATCCAAATGATTGATCTTATTTAGTTGTACCACCCTACCAACTACTTTTGTCCTTTTCCCAAAAATATCTTCAAAATATCTCAGATTTGTCTTTATCCAAAAAGTGCCACCAATGAAGATTGATTCAGCCTAAGTTCGATAGATCTCAGCCATGTTCAATCGATCCAAGTCCAAGGTTTGATCAATCGAACTTCCTCTAGTGCAAAAAAGTTAAATTTATAGCTCATTGAAAGTTGTCCTTTATCCAATCATTGGGAAATATTTTGTGCACTACCCAGCTCATTTTGGGTGTCATTTGACCTACCTATATAAGGATAATGATTGCTTTTTACAAGGAGGACCTCATACCATATCATATCATCTTATACCTTGTAGAACACTTAGAGAGCAAGCTTAGAGGGGGAGAAGGCTAGAGATACCATTGGAGACTCTTCATCAACCAAGGAGCAAATCTCTACCATGGAGTTAACCCTTGAGGGTTAAAGAAGCACTACCATGAGTGGCTAGACATCCTCTTGGGGCTAGAGTTAGCCCCAAGCATGCTTTCTATATCTTGATTTTGTGTATTTTTGAGGTATTAGTGTTGTAATACATGTTTTGACACTTTTATATATATAGATCTTGTTTATTCAATGATTTATTTGGTTTAATGCTTCCAATTGATCATTTCATTCTATTCATATGTCTATGTATGCTAGAATAGATGTTCATGTGTTTGTCTCTATTTCTTGTGTTATTGATGCATGTCTATGTGTATTAATGCCTTAGATCTAGAGATTGTCAAAACATAGTGCTTAAAGGAATGCTCTTGTAATTTTCTGTATAGTTTATGCTCATTTCTTGATGGATTATGCCTCTCCCTTAGCTTAATTAGTTTAATTTCATGTCATTAGCTTAATTGTAGTGTAGTGGTAGCATAATTGTTAGATGGGAGGACAATCCATGCTTGTTGTTTGATATTCTATACTTTTGAATGAAAGTAGCATATGTCTCTAACCTTATGGTGTATTTGGCTTGTGAGCTTAATGAAATGATTAACGACTTACTAGATATATTGTGCTTTTCACATGCTATTTAGATAATATATACTTAATTGCTAGATATATTGTGCTTTTCACATATTGATTAGACAATGTATGCTTAATTGGTCACCCTTACTAATTGAATCAACCAAACACACACACACACATCAATATTGCAACACACATTTCCCTCATTAGTCACTAGTTAAGGGTGTAGAAAGGTATTGCTTGGTGGTGACCTCTAAACCCCAAGATCTCTCTCTTTTTTACTTACTCTTTATTGCATTCAATTATTTAGTTTAATTTGCTCTCTAGTTTAATCAACCTACCAACCATTTGTTTGATCACTCGACCTACTAACCCTAATTGTGATTCCACAAGTTAGTACGACTCCAATCCCTTGGGACGATCCCTACTCACCCTAACTATATTTTTAGTGAAAGTAGTAGTGGCTTCTATAAATGTAAAACTTGGCCCTCGCCTTAATGCACACTCTTAAGCTTATGGTAGGACGACGACCAGGTGTCGATTATCAAGATACTTTTTCCCCCACTGCCAAGATCATCTCCGTTCACTGCTTGCTCGCGTTAGCTGCAGCTCGTGGTTGGTCCCTTCATCAAATGGATGTCAACAATGCCTTTCTTCACGGCGATTTAGCTGAAGAAATATATATGTCTCTGCCGCCAGGAATTAGGATACAGGGGGAGGAAAACTTAGTGTGTCGCCTTCATAAGTCATTGTACGGTTTGAAACAAGCATCTCACCAATGGTTCGGCAAGTTCTCAGAAGTTATTCGCTCCACTGGTTATGTACAATCTCGAGCCGATTATTCTCTGTTCACCAAAAAACAAGGCAAGTCCTTTACTGCTCTCTTGATATATGTTGATGATAATTTGATTACTGGAAATGACCCTGTTAACGTTGCTGCAACTAAAAATTTTCTGCATAGTCATTTTAATCTCAATGATCTTGGTGATTTGAAATACTTTCTTGGTATTGAGGTTTTTGATTCTAAGAACGGGATTTTTATTTCCCAACGTAAGTATGCTTTAAAAATCAATGAGGATGCAGGGCTGTTGGCCGCAACCCCTATTGATACTACTATGGAACGAGGCTTGAAATTATCGGACAAGAGCGATTTGCTCAAAGATCTGGGTCAGTATAGAAGATTAGTTGGTAGATTAATTTACTTGACTGTTTCGAGGCCAGATATAACATATGCAGTACATGTCTTGAGTAGATTTATGCACCAACCTCGAAAACTTCATATGGAATAAGCTCTTCGAGTTGTCCGATATCTAAAAGGTGCACCTGGTCAAGGCCTATTCTTCTCTTCGAATAGTGATTTCAAGTTGAGGGCTTACTGTGACTCGGATTGGGCAGGTTGCCCACTCACTAGGAGATCTATTACGGGATATTGTGTCTTTCTTGGACCTTCATTGATATCTTGGAGGTCGAAGCGACAGAAAATAGTTTCTTTCTCTTCCGCTGAGGCGGAATACCGTGCAATGACAGGAGCCTGCTGTGAGTTGACATGGCTCCGATATCTATTGAGGGACTTAGGACTTTCATATCATGAATTTGCCTTGCTATATTGCGACAACAAGGCTGCCTTACACATTGCGGCTAACCCAGTTTTTCATAAGCGAACTAGGCACATTGAGATGGATTGCCATTACATTAGAGACAAGATCCAAGATGGTCCCGTGACTACAAGATATGTACATTTTGCACATCAGCTAGTAGACATCTTGACCAAGCCTTTGGGGAAAGAGATCTTTGTTCCTATGATTCACAAGTTGGGAGTGCAGGATATCCACTCTCCAACTTAAGGGGGAGTGTTAGGAAGTCAAACTTTCGTATCTTCCATATTAAGAATATATAATCTGTATATATTATCTTTCCTATTGTAATGCCTGACTTATAGCTAGACAACCTGTAATGTACTAATAGATTCCTGACTTGTAGGAATGATTAGAAATCTCCCTGGACAAATACACGATTCAGTATCAATAATATTTATTCAAGCAAATTCAATCTTTCTTCCATCTTTTCATGGAATAACCCCATCACCTCCATAAATGAGTATATAATCCTTGGTCCTTCTCAAATATTTGAGAATGCACTTGACTGCAGTCCAATGCTCTTGTCCCAGATTGGACTGAAATTTTTCGAAGCATATGGTACATATCTCATTTGCTCTTTCTCTTCAGGTGTCTTAGGACATTGATCCTTAAAAAGAGCCAGACCATGCCTGAAAGGCATAAAACCTCTCTTTGAGTGCTACATACCGAACCTGGTCAGAATCTTTTCGATATAAGAAGCTTGAGATAAGCCAATCATTCTTCTTTTTTGATCATGCAAAAGTCCGATCCCAAGAATATAACTTGCTTCTTCCAAATCCTTTATGTCAAAATGACTTGACAACCATATCTTTGCAAATAATAGAGCCCCTACATCATTTCCAATGAGTAGAATGCCATCCACATATAATATGAGAAAAATCACTACAATACCCTGTATCTTCTTATACACGCATGGCTAATCAACGTTTTGTTAAAAACCGTAGAATGCCATCCACATATAATATGAGAAAAATCACTACAATACCCTGTATCTTCTTATACACGCATGGCTAATCAACGTTTTGTTAAAAACCAAAGGACTTGATTGTCTGATCAAAACGGATGTCCCAACTTAGTGAAGCCTGTTTAAGCCCGTATGAATTGTAAAAATCTAGCCAAAAAGAGAGAGCCAAAACAGACCATGATTCAACTTGCCTATTTAATTGGTTTGCAAGAGCGCAACTGGTTCGCGACTGGTTCCACTTCGCCAGTGAGCTTTTGTATGAAAAACATTTTTGAAAATTCATACGCACGACTGGTTCCGCATAGGCACGCTTTTGAAAATTCATATGCGCAACTGGTTCTGCATAAGCAGTAAGTAATGAATAAAAAATGAATTTAATGAATGAAAAATGAATTTGAGAATTTCAGTTCACGACTGATTCGTATATAGAATGTGACTGGTTCCGCAACATCAGTTTACATATTGAACTATATCATTCTAAATGCCTAAACCAAAACTCACTAATGATGCGTGTCATTACCAACATACATTCCTTAACGTGATGTTATCAACCAAATCAATATTGAATGCATATTGGTTGCACTTGTTGTTTTGCTTCCGACATAAAGACACAAAAATTAAACAAAATAGTATAATTTGATCGGATACGTTTTGACACCATAATTTGTCAATTATTATACAAAATTAATATCTTACAATCTAAACTCCATGAGGCGCTTTAGAAGATAACTATCATAATATCGTGTATCTCTTCGACCTCCCATTAGAATATAGAAGAGTGAGAGATACTTGTCAGACTTAAAAATAAAAAATAAAATAGGGGTTTTTTTACTTCACCACCTATGTTTTAGTAGCTTAAATCGTTAGGGCTTGTGTAGTGTATTTGTTATTTTATATCTTCTAGTAGGGTAAAACATATGAACATGGAAATTAATCAAATCCCTATATAATCAAATTATTAGAGCGGTTGAAAAGACACTCTCAAAAAGACAACCTGGTAGCGCATTCCTATGTCAAATTATTCACGTGCTTGACTTAATACTTACATGCCCTGCTTTCGTTTTATTATTATTTTCAGTAAATATCTCGAATCACAATAAAAAAATTCTTAATATTAAGATTGAGATCATTTTTTAAATATGTGAAAAATCAAATTAATAATTAAATATTTCAATAACAAAAACCCATCAAAGAAAAAAAAAAAAAGTCATCAAATGTTTTGACCTTGAAAGAAAGAAAATTTGTTTTTTTAGTATTTTGTGTTTGATCAAGAAAATGGAAAGAACTATTTGCTTTGAATCTTGAAAATCAAAGTAAAACATTGTACTAATTAGTAGTATTATTTTGCAGACCATGAAAGAGAAAAAGCTTGAGCTAGAGATGAAGAGCGAAGTGTCGAGCCATCTGGGGGCATGGTGCGAGCTGGATGGAAAGGTGGTGATGGTCACCGGTGCGTCGTCGGGACTCGGCTGGGAATTCTGTCTCGATCTCGCCAAAGCCGGTTGCAAGATTATCGCTGCCTCTCGCCGAATCCAACGGCTCAAATCTCTCTGTGACCAAATCAATGGATTCGCGGCCTTCTCCGACCATCCTCAACCCAACGCTCCTCTTCGAGCCGTGGCTGTTGAGCTCGACGTGAGCGCCAATGGTGCCACCATTGACGCCTCTGTACGGAGAGCTTGGGACGCGTTTGGCCGTATTGATGCTTTGATCAATAACGCTGGTGTTAGAGGTATTTCCATTATAATTTGGTAAAGTTGAATTTGTTAGCGGCACATACACCTCTCACTGTCTATATATATATATACACGTGTGTGTGTGTCAGTGCGTTGCAAGCGAGAAATTATTACTCACAACAACACTTGATGCACCAGCAAATGTATAAGCTTTATTTAATATTTTTTTTTGGTGAACATCTTCGAAGAAATTTCACTAAGTGTTTGTTAACGAAGAAATGAGATGTACAAATTTCTAGCCATAGCCCAAGTACTCCTGTCTTTCCTTAAATATGTTTTATTTATTTATTTATTAATAAGCCATACAAATACTAGCACTCTTATATATTGGATTGCAAGTGGCCGTGTTGCCCAAATAATTGGGTTGCTTCTGAGAGACTGTGTTCGAGTCTTGCAATCTTTTCCTCTCCCCTTTCCCTCTAACGAGTCCCTAACACTTTCGCCATTAATATATATATATATATATATACATACCGGGTTACAATTGAGACTAAAATCGGGTTCAAAAGGCAACAAAAAAAAAGGTTAGAATATGAAACTCAAGGCCATGATCCGGGTGGGCATTATCTAGTGGTTTAATTGGTTAAACGTCCAGTCCTTCGAGTGTCCCCCTTCCCTTTGTTTGTCAAAAAAAAAAAAAATCAGAGCATGATCAGGGTAAAAACGTAGTGCGAGATTTTATTTTATTTATTTATTTATTCAATTTGAGTGCAGTTTTGGTTTCTCAGATTCCAACTTTATCTGAATTCTTTAATTAATTTCTACAAGTGTATTTTCTAGGCTATATTTACTGATCATGATTGAGGATTACTCTTCAAGTCCTAATTTTGCCGGATGTCTATCAAAATTCACCATCCATGATAAGGAATTTTAGTTGTGTTACTTGTGTGGTTGTGTTAGCTAATGGATATATCATACTCAGTTTAAATGATTTGGGGTGTTAGGGATTGCAATTAGGGTGTATTCTCTGCTCGACTTGACTTAGAAGGCGTTAGTTATGAAACACAGGGTTTTTGTAGGGATAGTTGAGAGGTGGATTGTGTGACCTGATGTTGAGGTAATGTTGCGTACATGTTATTCTTTTTAGAACTCACAATGGCGGGAGTCTCGTGCACTTGGTGAGGTGGAACATGATTTCTGTGTAGCCTAATTAATTGTGGATATGGATATCTCTCTTCCATGGACATAGACCGCTTGCAAATATTGCGGTTGTGTTCTTGTGATTTTCTATTTTCCTTTAAAAAACTAAATCCATTGTGCATATCGACAGTACCGGTTGTTACATCTTTGTGGGTTTTGAGAGAGCACCCGCACTCAGATTGTTCCCAGATCCGTTGAGTACATCGGAAGTGAATGGGTTCCCGAATTTGACTCTTAGCAACTCCTATGTTCGAAGCAAGATGTTTAATTCGACCCGAATTACACTGTATTGGCATCATAAAGACATGTCAATAGAATTTCATCAGAGGTGCATGTGATAGGTAGGATTGTTTATATTGTCCAATTGCTTTGTGTGGTGGTGCTGTGGATGATCTCTTGATATGTTACTTTAGTCTTATTTTTTGTGTATTAGCCCCATGCTTGATTGCCTAGTTTTTCATTTTGTTGCAAGTCATTACCATGAGACAAAAATTCATACTAAATAAATAAATAAATAAAACGAACCAAAACAAGAAAGGAATTTTGAGATAGAATTCCCATCAGCAAAATAAATTGTTACATAAGTACTAAAGATTTATTACTACTCCTTGCCATTGTATTGTTTTTTCTTTTTTCTCTATTTTTATTTCTGTATGATAGATTAATACATTCTTCATTCAATAACCGAATATTGGACTCTTATGTTTTTCATTTTACTTCTGCAACATTGATTTGAGCTTTTTAAGTGTATTCTAACTTGTGTATATTTTAGGAGGCGTGCATAGTCCGTTGGATTTATCAGAGGAAGAATGGAATAATACTGTTAAAACAAACTTAACAGGTTCATGGTTGGTGTCAAAATATGTTTGTATACGCATGCGTGATGCTAATCTCGGGGGATCAATTATCAATATTTCTTCTATTGCTGGTATTAATCGCACGCAGTTCCATGGAGATGTTGCCTATTCTTCTTCGAAGGCGGGCCTAAATACCATGACAAAGGTAATATCTTCTCGCATGTTATGCAATTGGTTCAAAGTTCGGTTGCCTTCTTTGTTAGGTGCCTGGTATCGTACTGCTAGGCCACTCACCTGTTAGTAAGTTTATTACATCTTAAAATATTAGTTACTCGAAACCCCATGCCGTGTGACATTGTTAACGACTAAATTATATATTCGCTGCAACAGAATTTCCATTCATACTGTGTTTTGTCAATTTACATTTCGTTTTTCTTTTCCTTAGTCTGTACCAGTGTCTTGTTTTTCTTTTTCCAAGTAATTGAGCTGCCAGTCAAAAAAATTCTGAATTTTGTATCCAAGGATTAAATTTGATGGCTTATTCAACTAACAATAATATATCAGGTCATGGCCTTAGGATTGGCGCGCCACAAAATCAGAGTAAACTCGATATCACCAGGTTTCTTCAGATCTGAGATCACTGAGGGTCTCATGCAAAAGGACTGGCTCAACAATGTGGTTTCGAAAACTGTCCCTTTGAAAACTTTCGGCACAATAGACCCGGCATTGACTTCACTGGTACGATACTTGATCCATGACTCTTCTCATTATGTGACCGGCAACATTTTCATTGTTGATGCCGGTTCTACATTACCAGGTGTTCCCATTTTCTCCTCTCTTTGAATCATTATTAATCTAATATGTTTTTAACTCGAGAGAACATTGTCCCATTTTGTTATATCTCAATTATTAAGGACTGGCTGCACGAATCCTAATTTGTCATTATATTTCTATCTTTACCTTATAATAGATTTTCGTTTTCTTTTTTATTTTAATTGATAGTATTGTAAGATACGAAAATATGGAGTAAAAATTAACAAATAAGTGATTTTAGTTCTTATAAGATCGAAGAATATAAAATAAAATGATTGTTGAACCCTTTCACCCTCATGCAATAGATGAAGTCATGTACACTGAATGTCCTTTTTTCAGTCGATTGGAAATTGTTGTAAATCTGAGTACTTTCGAAAATTATATTCTAAAAACCGAAACATTGAAATGTTTCCTCAATCACCTCCAACACCAGCAGCATTGTGCAGAGCATCCATATATGTATGTGTGTGTGTGTGTATATGCTCAAAAGTTTATGCAGATTGATGCCTCGATCAGCATTCATATCGAGATCAACAGCCATTGTTTGAACAATGTTGGTAGTCATTGGATCATTCTTACGACGTAGAGCTTGCCGAAGTCTTATCATCGTCGGGTTATTCGGCTTGGTGTCTAATTTTGTCAAATTGGCTCAACTTTTCACAACAGTTCACTTTTTTTTTTTTTTTTTTTGGGGTAGATAAAGGACCTTGCAGGGGAAGCCCATCTATTAGAAAAAGAAAAATAGTTTTTCTAGAAGATAAGCCACAAAGAAGACAACCAAAGTCTACATGGGATGGAGTAGTAAAAAATAATTTAAAATTTAAATTAAAAAAAATATAATAGGAAAGAATGAAAAACAGAGAATTCATATGATCGATCCCATCATCGTGCAAAATTTTGTTTTTAGATTACGCTCTTTTATAATGTTGTGTTCGGTATGCAAGAATGAAATGAAATGCAAGTGGGAATAGAATGAGAATAAGTTCTATTATTTGGTTACAAATATGTAATGTGCAAGAATGGAATGATATGTAGTAATAACCATTTTAGTATTTCGTTGAACTAATTTAAATTTTAAAATCAAATGAATTTCAAATTGAATTATACAATAGTAACCAATAAATTAAATTAATAAAATAACATTCTTCTATAATTTTTTAAAAAAAGAAATAGAGGCGGGTGTGGATGATGGTGATGATGGTGGTGGAGGTGGAAAGCTATATTGATATAGGAGGTGATGTTGGAAGGCAACGTCAGCGGTGATAGTGGCGGCAAAAGATGACAGTAGTGGTGGTGGTGGTGGTGGCGGCAGTGGCAGTATCCCAACCAATCATGTATGAAACTCATCCATTCTTTCCTTTAGTTCTCTTAGGCTCTCATGGGGATAGAAAGACAAGTATAATGAACTAAGTACTATAATTTTTTTTACAAGGATAGTTTGCTCTCACATTATACACCATATCTCATACCAACATGCTTGTGGTTTAGTGGTACCAAATTCTTATTTTTTTTAAAAAATGTTCGAAGTTCGAACTTTAGGGAAGGTATATGTGTACGAATACCAACTAAAAAAAAAAATATACACCATATCTCATGTATGAATTAAGCACCTCAAATCCCCCATAGAGCTCAAGGAATTAAAAATATATTCAAATTCTTTCTCAGCTTCAAACTTTTGTGAAGATGAAAACTTAAATTGCAAAACTAAATATAAAGAATTCATGGTTGTTTCATTATCTTGTTACCCAACAAGAAGTCAATTTAAATATAAACCATTCATTCAATATTGGGTCCATTAAATCAGATTAATTTTCAAAATTTCAAAGCTTCATCCAACATAAATGTTACAACTGCAACCATCAAACACCCATAGCCAATTAGCCGTCTTATCTTCTTTAGAAGTCATAGCTGTTAAATTGCATGTAACAAATCAATTATAAAATTATTATTTGGAGCAATAATTCTACTAGGATCATCAATGAAAGAAGTATATAAAGTAGTAGCATCAATGAAAGAAGTATATGCGAAAGAAACTTTCATTTTAGTCCGGAAAATGTTTTTGGGAAATTTTCAGAATTGAAGAAAGTAGTAGTAACTGTGGAAATTTTTTATGGGTCTGCGTGGATTCTTAGTGGGATCGCCAAATCAATACCCAAAAAACTATGTAATGGGTTGTGAACTGTGGTCTAATTTCATTTGGGTTCCGTTTGGTTAGTGTAAAGTAACTAGAAAAGAAAAGAAAAAAAAGAAATGAAAATTTTTAAAATTTTGTAAATGCTTTGTTAGAGTGAAAAAGGAAATTTTAAGAAAAATAGAATTCTCGCAACTTTTCCCCAAAATGATTGTTGCATAAAACACGGAAAAGTTATACTTTCCCACAAGCGTACTGCATTTATTTCCTAATTTCTAATTATTCCCCTAATCGAAACATATCCTATTGTCGTACAATTATATGAAAATACAAATATTTTAAAATTTTGACACATACAGCTCAACAAAGTATTGTTTTGTTTTGTTTTGTTTTATATCTTATTGGGATTTTTACATATAAGTGTAGTTATATAAGTGTAGTTATGGATCCATATTTACGGTATATTTACGGTATCATGTAGTCAAAGTTTCAAAAAAAACATGAAGTTGACCTAATCACTAATGCGGACATCAAATTTTACTATTGATTATAATATTTCCCTAGAATACCTTTTTACTCGTTCCTTCCCCTTCCGGCCTTCTCTCTCCATCTCCACATCACCTCTGTCTCTCCACCAATCGCTGTCGGCTGATGCTTCACCACCACCACGAAACCACCGTTAAAACTAGTTTCATATTATTTTGAAACTAATTTCAATTGGGAAATTGTAAAGAACAAAAACACATTTCTGGAATTACAAGTTAAAACCCCATAAATAGACAATCAATCAAAGCAAAAAAATATAAATTTATAAAGCAAAACCAACTTAGACTTTGTGTTGGAGGAGACTCTTTATGCTGAATATTTCCTTGTACACCAGCAATTCCCCATTATACAAAAAAACAGAAGCAACCAAACAAATTTAACTTAATCAACACAAACAACAACAACCCATTATCAAGATTAGACTTCTATTTTCACTCATCCACTAATACCAACTCATAGAACAAGAAAATTAACTAAAATGATGCTCACCGGAATCGTACTGTAATTTACAAAAATGTGTCTCTTATGCTTTCTTCGGTGCCGTTAGATTGATGGAATCTACTCGTCGTTGCTGAAAAGAAGCTCGCCATTGTGATGGTCCCCGTGTGAGCTTGCTGTCGCCAAAGTGAAGCTCGTTGTCGCCAAAGTTCAATGGAGCCGCAAGGACCGCCATCATCTGCACGCCGTGTACTCCGTTATTGCCGTCTCTGGCCAATAAGTCCATTCTTGCAACAGAGAGGGAAAGGTAGTGTTTGTTTGGGCTGAAAAGGTCACGGGATAATAAGGTAATTTGGTTCAAAAGTAGAGGGGTATTTTAGGCAAAATTTTATAATGAATGGTAAAAATTTATCATTAGGTTAAGTTCATTTTTTCGAAATTATAAAACTTTGATTAGATGATACTGTAAATATGAGTCCGTAACTACCCTTATTTTATTTGCTGAGATTAAACCACAAATGTTAATCATTATTGAAACCAAGGTCCAATAGGGAAATGTCAATGCTATCCATAGATACCTTGCTCCTCATTGGCATATTCTTGCTATTTTAACCTTGGTAGAATGTGAATTCTCTATAATCCTATTAATCTCAAGGTTCATAAGCTTTCAGCAAATGCTCAGGCTATTCATTATAATGTGACTGATATTAACACTCGAATAATATTTTTTTCTATGCCATCTATGCTTACAACACTGCAGCCCAGAGGAAAAGCCTTTGGGATAACATTGAGGTTCAAGCTCCATCCATAACCTAAACTCATTGGGTTGTCATGGGTGATTTCAATGTCATCAGGTATCCTAATGAGAACTATGGTGGATACTCAACATGGAATGCTGGTATGATTGATTTTAATTAATGTCTCCATGACATTGAGCTAATAGACCTCAGGTATAATGGATTTTTCTATACCTTGTCAAACAAAAGTGGAAGTATTCCAAGCATCTAGAGGAAGCTTGACAGAATGATAACAAATAATGGGTGGATGGACTCTCTTCCTACTTCTAGTTGCACTTTTCTCCCTTATGGTATCTCAGACCATTCACCTATGGTTTTCAAAACAGGTGATCCTAAGCCCAAGAGGAATATTCCATTCAAGTTCTTCAATTTTATTGGCGATCACAAGGATTTCCTCTCTACTGCATGTTGCTGATTGAGGTCTGGTCCCAAAACATTCGTGGAACTTTAACGTTTCAATTTACTAGGAAGCTACAAAAGCTGAAGCACTAGCTTAGTTACTCAATACTAAGGAATTTAGTGACCTATCTGGTAGAGTTTCTGAAGCTAAGGAAGCCCTAAATAGTTGCCAAGTTAAGCTTGATGCCGACCCAACCAATGAACAACTCAGAAGAAGAGAAAAAAAAAACCTTATCAAGAACTACTATAATTATTAGCTGAAGAGCAGCTCTACCTGCAAAAGTCCATAATCAAGTGGTTAAAGATGGGGATAAGAACACAAATTTCTTCATGAAGACTTTCAACATGTATAACAGGAAAAAAATGTTAATCTTACCCTTCCTAATGGAAATTCCACTATATCTTCATATGCTATCAAAGGAGGAGGTCTCAATCACTTTATAAGAATCCATGGCAGCCATGCTAGCAACTATATAGGGATTCATGATCTTAGGGCTGTGTTCAACTATGTTATACCTAACGAGTTACTTGGTTCAGTTGTTGTTCCCACCCTTGATGATATTAAGAGATGTTTTTTCAGCCTTAATAACAATAAGGCTCCAGGCCCAGATGAATATAATGCATATTTCTTTGAAAACGCATGGCTAATTATTGGTGATGATGTATCTATGGCAGTTCGTGAGTTCTTCGGCAATGGTTATCTCCTTAAAGAAATCAGC